TGAGGTACTTCCCCACCATCTGATCCAGTTGAAACAGAATTACCAAAGACAGTCGAATCATCAGGAGCTGAGGGAAGCATCAAGGATAGAAAAATGATAAGTGCTAGTTTACCTCTATAACATGCTTTATTCCCCACAGCTCCCCTGTGGTCCTATGATGAAGAGGTGTTACCTCCAGGACTTTCTGGCTGTTTGGTTGTCTTTGTAATCTAGACATTGTATTCTGGAATCCATCTAGTGAGATCTGGCATCTACTTCACTATTATATATATATATATATATATATGTATATGTTTTATTGATTACATGCATTCATTTTCATGGCTGACTTAGGTGTCTCTATTTCACCTTTTTAAGTGTTTAGCATTTGTGTGTGTATGAATAATAAATATTATATGTGTTAACATGGTTATGATAATGAATTATCATAACCTGGGGGCTTTCTTTAGTAAGTAGTGGGGGTGTCCAGCCAAGTGTGCCTAGGAATATTGTATTCATATACAGATATATTTTGTAGTGCCAATACTTGAGTTGCCCTACTCCAGAAATAAGTTGAGCGTATATTGGCCACGGGGAATCCCTTAGACCAATACGAGCCAAACGACTCTACATAATTATTTCTGAGTGCTGTCGGTTCTCTAGGAGAAATCCTTATATCAGGCATGTGACAGGAGTGATATGTGACACTATCCTCTGCACTATAAAATATCACATCACACTCCACATTAACGTGCTACACTACATATCATCTTTGTGACAAACTAAACACGTTACACGACACTCACAGTAAAGTCACTGTCAAGCGAAAGGGTTCCCGACAGTCATTATACTCAGTCATAAAAGTACAAAAAATAAGAAGAACTCAACGGCGGGAGCATGCACAGCAGAAGTTCACAGATCATCAGTGAAAAAGTTCTTCGTCGACAATTGTTTGGGCCCATTATCCTCCTAAAGAATTTCAGAGGCTGTCCCTACCTGGGTCATAACTCCAGGCTTTGGACATATTCAGCGGCGCCTAAAGAAAAGGGACAAGACGGAATGGCTGCTTTGCAACATGTATTGTGAGGTTTCGTGTTATATATTTGTCACTTCGGTAGCAAATTAGCCGCCTACCTTCACGACTAGAGTGACAAGTGAACAGTTGGTTCATCGGACAGACGTTAGCCTTTGGCAATTGGCAAGGAGATATTGGCAAACTTTAATCTGACACTTTGGCTTTTGGGGATATAAAAACGTTTTTCCACTAGGAGCTCGTACCAGTCTACCGAGGCCCATCCCCCACGACGTTTCGTTGTGTCCACAGCTAGCTCGAAGATCTTTCTGCAGCTTCACCCAGTTATTTAAGCTCTTTTCCTCGCAAGCCTAACTGCTTTAGTACATTGTATGTGGAGATGGAGATTAGCCCTTTTGCGCCTATCTCGACGGCGAAGAGTTTTACTGTGTACGTTTAATCGCTCTTCAATCTGGCCACCAAATCACAGTACTTTTTGAGCTTGTACAAGTGGTTCACTTCGATCCGGAACTTGTACGACACGCTAAGCTCTGTCATGATGAGCTGGCGTTCTGTCGCAGAGTGCAGCACCATATCTGGTCTAAGGCCAGTCCTTCGAATTGAGTCGGAGTATTTCTGGAAACCATGCAGGTCTACTGTCAGTAACCAGTCCCTCGCACAGTCAAGTATTGATGGAGCGTATGCGAAATTATGACTTTACCTTTAGGAAATTGCTAATTGACCAACTTTGAGGAAGCTCATAGATTGGGGTTGGGGGGGGGGGGGGGGGGGGGGGGGAGACGTTAGGACTGGCCCTCGCGTTGGTCCTCATCCCGGTTTTGTTCGCAATGTCCGCTAGCTCTTTTAGGACTTTACTGTGGCACCATGTATATTGTCCCTGACTTAGGGCTTTTCTGCATGCTGACAATGTGTGCTCGTGCATCTGTTTAGCTCTGCATAGGGGACATGTCGGCTCGGTGGTCGCACTCCATTTGGCCATGTTAGTGCCAGAGGATAACAAGTAGCGACGTGTTCAAGCTTAGTTGATGCAACAAAGAAATAAAACTGGATGACAAAGCAGCTTCTGAGCAAACTGGCAAATATAACGAAACATTAAATAATGATAATGATTTTTTTATGGCTAAAACAATTGCGCCATCTACGACTAAGCATGTCATCCAAAGAGGCGCCATTCACCTAGGATCTGGAGAAAACTGTAACTGACGATGAATTATCCAGATAATGTTTCGCTAGTGACAGGTATATAAAGCCCTAGGTGAACGATAATTATGTTTTGTACTCAGAAACCTGCTCTTTAAATGGTTACATTAATGAGAAAGGTTTACGAAAAGCAATATTTATAAAATTAAACATTCAGTTTATCGTCTTCGCAGTCAAACATCGGGCTTTGCGTATCTATTCTCTGACTTTGAGCTTGAGTTTAATCATCTTTTCATAAAAGCAATATTGATTGATCTATTGCAATAATAAATCAAATCCGATTATTATTACAAGTGAACTTTTCGGTGCATGTACGGTTAAAGTGAACTTTTCAGTGCATGTACGGTTAAAGTGAACTTGTCGGTGCATGTACGGTAAAGTTAACTTGTCGGTGCATATACGGTTAAAGTTAACTTGTCGGTGCATGTACGGTTAACGTTAACCCACAAGGAGTGATGAATGGTCTATAGCAGTGTTTCCCAAACTTTTGTTTTGTCGCAGCGCCTTCCCCCCCCCCTAAGTAAAAGTATGACTATTCGTATGTAAAAGATTTTAAAAAAAACACACAACTAAATGTCATGTATCTTGGAATATTTGGCGACGCATCTGTGAACAGGTCGCGGCTCCCCGGGGCCCCGCTGCGCACAGTTTGGGAATCACTGTTCTATAGCTATATGAGTCTCGCATCATATGCCCGATACGCTCTATAATCAATAATAACAGAGACTGTGTGACAGATATCAAAAAGAGGATGGCCATAGCAATGCAAAGATTAAACAGCATTAAAAGTCTATGGGTAAGCACTAGCAAGGTGAAATTTAAATTATAATTTTGAGAGCATGCATCTTTCCTGTAGCAATATACGGATGAGTCGTGGACTATCTTCCAATCCTTTAATCTTAAAAAAGAAAATAGGAGCTTTTGAGCTGAAATGCTATAGAAAGATTTTCAGAATACTGTGGATAAATAAGAGAAGGAATACTGAAATTTTAAGATCTGAACATCAAGTAAGATTGATAATAGGATCTTGTCTTAGAAGCTGAAATATTTTAATCATATAAAGCGCCATGGTGGATTTGAAAAAAAAAAAATTAATATTCGAAGGCATAGTACTAGGAAAGACGGGCAGGGGTCGACCAACACAAAGATAGCCAGAGGATATAAGTGACTTTTTGAATATGAAAGTAAATGAGGTGGAAGTGCTGGCGAGAGACGAGAGTTTCTTTCAGGCAGACGGTGATGAGATCGACGTTCTGCAAAGCACCTGCCTGCTACATGAGGGTGATGCCCGATGCGCAACTGACGTGACAGGGATATTTGTCGTCACATGGCCTCTGTGGGTCTCGATGGGCAGCGTCACTCCTTAACAGCTCAGGACAATTCCTGATAACACTTATAGTGTGGGTCGAACTTGAAACCGAAGTCAATTTTTGCCGATTCCGCCCGGCGCCGATTCGAACCTAAGGTCTTCTGGTCGTCAAGCGAGCCTTTAGCAATTGCGATATCTTTGCTGTCATAGACTATAGTCATTATTATTATTATTTTTTTTTTTTTTTTTGTATCTTTACTTAACAGCATAATTACTTGATGAATACGTACGCAAATTTACCACGAGAAACTGCATAAATAAAGCTATAATTAAATAAACATTTCTGGTTCCCAAAAAAATATTAGGTTTATATTTATTAGAAACATGCAATAGAGTGCTAATTCCTCTTCATTTTTAATACAATAGACCAAGAAAATATGTTTGTAGCACAGCTTGACTTATTAAATAGGTGAATTGGATTTGCACAAGGGTGAATCTGATTTGCAAAAGGGTGACACTGCATTTGTGTATGCGTGTGTGTGTTGGCAAAGATGCTCTTGGGGGTGTGAGTATGTACAAGTAGGCAATTACGTGGGTAGGAATAGTGCTAGCTATGTAGGTAGTTAGGCAGGTGAACGGGTAGGTGGGTTTATTGGTAGGCAGACACGTGAAGTGCATAAACCTCCCATTAAACTTTTCATAAAACCAGAAGTTTTTTTTTGGGTCGGGAAGGTAACTATGCTATGTAGAATAAAAGGAGTAATCGCATGACAAGAGGTACAACAGTGAATTCTGTATGATGGCTCTGCACAACTTGGTGGAATGTGGTTAGTGCCTTGTGAGAGAGCGTGTACAGTTCTGAATAGCAGATGGATCACAAGTCTGGTGAGATTGATGCAGTGGGGAGTGACGAGAGGTTCTGACAGATGCGCGAGGCTCAGAGGAAAGGCCAGATGGACGTTTAATCAGAATTCTACTGGCACCATTAGTATCGGAACTCTGCATTGGCTGCTGAAGATGGGGACGAAGCGTTTATAGAAATACCCCGAGTGCTGTGATGTCTGTTCTTGAATCAAATCAACTCACCTTATTCTGTATGGTGACCCAAATTATACGTATATGTAAAACTAGATTTAAAGGTGGTCGAGCAAGTGCGTTGATATGTAGGTAGAATGATAGGTAAGTAGTTGTTTTGTTAGTTGGAATACGAGATGGGTAGAAAGTTAAAAAAAAAACAATTCCTTGCGAATTACTTGTTGAAATTAGCCGTGATATAAAGGTAATAAAATGGTATATATAAACCACTGTAAATGTTGTCCAGTGTTGTGCTATGTGACTCGCCAATTATTAATTACTACTGTATGCCATAATTTGTCTTAGGATTACTCAGTGGATATTTACCTGAGCCTGTACTGGGAAGACCGGCGACTCAAGTTCACCAACTGGATCAACGCTTCCCGGCTGGAGGTGGACACCAAAATGATGGACATGGTCTGGGTTCCCGACGTTTACTTCAGGAACGAGAAGAAAGGGAGATTTCATGACGTCACCGTGCCGAATAAATATATGCACTTGTACCAGCATGGAGAGGTGCATTACAGTATGCGGTAAGTTTATCTTCATCTGCTCTACCTGGCATAGTTACATGACTTACTTAGACCTCCAGTGTGTGGCTCAGTTATATGTCATACTCAGACCCCCAGTGTGTGGCTCTGTTACATGTCATACTCAGACCCCCAGTGTGTGGCTCTGTTACATGTCATACTCAGACCCCCAGTGTGTGGCTCTGTTACATGTCATACTCAGACCTCCAGTGTGTGGCTCTGTTACATGTCATACTCAGACCCCCAGTGTGTGGCTCTGTTATATGTCATACTTAGACCCCCAGTGTGTGGCTCTGTTATATGTCATACTCAGACCCCCAGTGTGTGGTTCTGTTACATGTCATACTCAGACCCCCAGTGTGTGGCTCTGTTACATGTCATACTCAGACCCCCAGTGTGTGGCTCTGTTACATGTCATACTCAGACCTCCAGTGTGTGGCTCTGTTACATGTCATACTCAGACCCCCAGTGTGTGGCTCTGTTACATGTCATACTCAGACCCCCAGTGTGTGGCTCTGTTATATGTCATACTTAGACCCCCAGTGTGTGGCTCTGTTATATGTCATACTCAGACCCCCAGTGTGTGGTTCTGTTACATGTCATACTCAGACCCCCAGTGTGTGGCTCTGTTACATGTCATACTCAGACCCCCAGTGTGTGGCTCTGTTACATGTCATACTCAGACCCCCAGTGTGTGGCTCTGTTACATGTCATACTCAGACCCCCAGTGTGTGGCTCTGTTACATGTCATACTCAGACCCCCAGTGTGTGGCTCTGTTACATGTCATACTCAGACCACCAGTGTGTGGCTCTGTTACATGTCATACTCAGACCACCAGTGTGTGGTTCTGTTACATGTCATACTCAGATCTCCAGTGTGTGGCTCTGTTACATGTCATACTCAGACCACCAGTGTGTGGTTCTGTTACATGTCATACTCAGATCTCCAGTGTGTGGCTCTGTTACATGTCATACTCAGACCACCAGTGTGTGGCTCTGTTACATGTCATACTCAGACCCCCAGTGTGTGGCTCAGTTACATGTCATACTCAGACCCCCAGTGTGTGGCTCTGTTACATGTCATACTCAGACCCCCAGTGTGTGGCTCTGTTACATGTCATACTCAGACCCCCAGTGTGTGGCTCTGTTACATGTCATACTCAGACCACCAGTGTGTGGCTCTGTTACATGTCATACTCAGACCACCAGTGTGTGGCTCTGTTACATGTCATACTCAGACCACCAGTGTGTGGTTCTGTTACATGTCATACTCAGACCCCCAGTGTGTGGCTCTGTTACATGTCATACACAGACCCCCAGTGTGTGGTTCTGTTACATGTCATACTCAGACCACCAGTGTGTGGTTCTGTTACATGTCATACACAGACCCCCAGTGTGTGGCTCTGTTACATGTCATACTCAGACCACCAGTGTGTGGTTCTGTTACATGTCATACTCAGACCACCAGTGTGTGGCTCTGTTACATGTCATACTCAGACCCCCAGTGTGTGGCTCTGTTACATGTCATACTCAGACCCCCAGTGTGTGGCTCTGTTACATGTCATACTCACACCCCCAGTGTGTGGTTCTGTTACATGTCATACTCAGACCCCCAGTGTGTGGCTCTGTTACATGTCATACTCAGACCACCAGTGTGTGGCTCTGTTACATGTCCTACTCAGACCTCCAGTGTGGGGCTCAGTTATATGTCATACTCAGACCCCCAGTGTGTGGCACAGTTACATGTCACACTCAGATCTCCAGTGCGTGTCACAGTTACATGTCATTCTCAGACCTCCATTGTGTTGTACTGTAAGATGTCATACTCAGACCTCCAGTGTGTGGCACAGTTACATTTCATACTCAGACCCCCAGTGTGTGGCACAGTTACATGTCATTTTCAGACCTCCAGCGTGTTACACAGTAAGATGTCATACTCCAGTGTGTGGCACAGTTATATGCCATTCTCAGACCTCCAGTGTGTGGCACAGTTACATGTCACACTCAGATCTCCAGTGTGTGGCACAGTTACATGTCACACTCAGATCTCCAGTGCGTGTCACAGTTACATGTCATTCTCAGACCTCCATTGTGTTGTACTGTAAGATGTCATACTCAGACCCCCAGTGTGTGGCTCTGTTACATGTCATACTCAGACCCCCAGTGTGGGGCTCAGTTATATGTCATACTCAGACCTCCAGTGTGTGGCACAGTTACATTTCATACTCAGACCTCCAGTGTGTGGCACAGTTACATGTCATTTTCAGACCTCCCGCGTGTTACACAGTAAGATGTCATACTCCAGTGTGTGGCACAGTTATATGCCATTCTCAGACCTCCAGTGTGTGGCACAGTTACATTTTATACTCAAACCTCCAGTGCGTGGCACAGTTACATGTCATTCTCAGACCTCCAGTATGTTACACAGTAAGATGTCATACTCAGACCTCCAGTGTGTGGCACAGTTAAATGTCATTCTCAGACCTCTAGTGTGTGGCACAGTTACATGTTATTCTTAGACCTCCAGTGTGTGGCACAGTTACATGTAATACTCAGACCTCCAATTTATCGCACAGTTAGGTGTCACACTCAGACCTAAAGTGTCTGACACAGTTACATGCCATACTCGGACCTACAGTGTGTGGTACAGTTATATGTCATACTCAGACCTCTAATCTATGGCACAGTTACATTAGCGGGCAGGGGGGCGGGGGGGGGGGGTGGCGGGTAGAAAGCTGTTCACGCTGTTTTAAAAACAGATCCTCTTGGTAACAGATTATGCCTAATGTATTCAAGAGTCAGCTGATGAAACTTTAACGCATACAGAATGAAGCCATAGGGGGTAATTATATGATGCATGCAATGTAGACTTGTACCGCCGACTGTTAAAGGCAGACTCAAGGTAGTGTAAGCAAAGTCGTATCTGAAAGCAGCCGCAGACAAAAACACCTCCCGCACGAGGGCCGGGAGAGAAAGAGAGTTAAGAGTCACAGACGGGTAAGCTGAAAACCAGCTAGACAAGTGTGCAGGCTTGATAATACTAGGCAAGAGGTGGGTAGGTGAAGGTGTTCGAGCAATAATCAAAACTGTATACACTTCTAATCACACTGGCCCGGAGATGTATAGACCGGCCAGCGGACATTTCATTGAGGTCACTGTTTAACTGACAAAAACAGTCATGTTGTTAAATAAGTAGTGCCAACGTCTAATCAAAATGATTGTATAATGCACTATGACTGAGAAAACAAGAACACTAACTGCGCAATTACAAAATATCAAATATAGCTGGACAGATCGTGGCATAAACCATGCTTTAGGTCTGATCAAACACGATTGCCCGGCTCTCTAGCGGAATTGGCTAAACCGGATTTCGCGGAGACCGGGTGACGTACTCCTTGTGGTCCGGGTTCAATCCCGGGGGTAGGCAGGAAAGCCACATTTTCTCCCAGATTTACGGTATTTACAATGGAATCAAGGCCGAAAGGTTGCGATATCCATAATACCGAGCCTAAGGGTTAACAACTCAAGGCTTCTGGATACTAAAACAAACAAACAAACAAACATCAAACACGATTGGGTGAAAAAAAAAAACTTGTATAAAAAGCGATGTCTATAGATCTGTTAGGACAGACTATGCAATGGTTATATCTCAATTCTACTCCACGAATCACATGTTTCAAATTTACAGGTTATCGTTAACCCTGAGCTGTAGAATGCTGCTGCAGAAATATCCCCTAGACACACAGAAGTGTCCTATGTTGATACAGAGCTGTAAGTTAACAATTTCTTGCTTGTCGTGGTTGCATATTTGGTGTGTCTGTGTTTATACCTTGTATACATGTCTGCCGATTTAACGGTTTAAAAAAAAAAAAAACACCTAACTTTCATTATAGATTTAATCTTGTCTTAAACAAATTCTCAAGTGCTACAAGGAACATCTTACCCTTTTATTTTAATGATTACCTCTATCAGTTCCTACAGCTTTGATGACGTTGTTCACCAAAAATGTCAATTATTACACTACTTGAGGTGAGTATATCACCGGTCGGTCAGAAGGATATCATCTGATTTTTCTATCCATTAGCTTTCTCTGTATACCAGAGTATTTTGGACACAGTTAAGTGTGCTGTCTGTCGTGCATTTGATCCTGCGTGTGGTAAGTCAGGATTGTGTCATCTGAGTCTATTGACATCCACTTATCCTGTTTGTTTATTACTGTCGTCATTCTAATCAGCCAGACAGCTGGCCAATTGTTAGAGCTTTTCTGGGTACTTTTTTTTTTTTTTTAAGTTTTTCCCTGTGACGTCACGATGACCTCACGGAGCAGTCAAAAAAATTCGAGGGCAGTAAGATGGGGCTTTTCCAGCAGTGCAATTCTACCTTCCTTTAGGAGCGCGTTGCCAAGGGCTTGGCGGGTGTTGCCAGGGAGTGCGCTTTGCGCCTCTAACTTGTCCTCTTATTTCAGTCTTCATCGGGGCTGGGCATTTCACCGAATACAACTGTGAGATGTAGCAACTACTATGATTGAATCCTACAGTGATCGGTGGAGAGAACACCAGTGTTTCAATTGATGAAAGTATGTTTTCGAGGCGGAAGGGGCGGAGGGGATATGTGGGACATGCGTTTCCACAACAGTGGGTTTTCGGTGGAGTACGTCGCGAGACAGGGAATTCTTTATGTTCTGCGTTCCAGACAGAAAAGCTGAGATGCTTCTGTCGATCATTAGCATAAACATCAGACCCGGTACACGACAGTATTCTCCGACATGTGGATGGATGCATATCACCGTCATTCACTCCAATAATTTTGTCGATGCCACCACAGGTGCTCATACACAATGCATCCAACGTTTGTAGATGTTGACAAAGGAGAGAAGAAACAAGTCCTAGACTTGGACCCACATACATTTATTATATTTCTACATGTGTGAGTTTATGTGGCAGTATACATCTAGAATGATTGGCCCCTCTTAGGGCCCCACAGTACTCCAATTGGCAATTTTTTCGATTGCACATAGAGTTTCTCCGACTGCACATAGTTTCACACACAAAAACATATTGCTTATCATAATTAATTGTCTACCGGGGCCCTGTTATAGAGAAAAGAAGAATTGATCCACTGCCTACCTAAAAGCTTGTCGTAAGAGTCTACTAATTGGGAGCTTCCTACAAAGTAGGAGTGCATCTGCCTGAGAGGCAAGGAACCAGCAGTCTGTATACAAATGAGTCAGATCTGTAAAACAGATGCACACGCAATACTCAGGTCTTGGAACATGACTGCAATCAAAGTGGATGAACAACCAAAACTTTCCGCCAGAGTTTACAGCTGGTGAACGCGAAGAAAAAGGAGAATTAATGTTATGTTTGTTTAAATAATTAGTGCTTGGTGATCAAAAGATTGAACAGCCTTAAAAGTCTATGGTTAAGCACCAGCAAGGAAAAAAAAATGGGAATTTTGAGAGCATGCATCTTCCCTGTGACTACATACGGATGTGAGTCGTCGACTATCTCTCAGTCCTTGAGAAAGAGAATAGGGGCTTTTAAGCTTAAATGCTATAGAAAGATTCTCAGAATATCTTGGACAAAAAAGAGGAGAAATACTGAGATCTTAAAAGATCTGAACATAAAGGAAAATTAGTTAATAAACAGCATCCTTTCTCGGAAGCTGAAATATTTTGGTCATATCAAGCGCCACGACGGATTGGAAAACATTATAGCAGAAGGCATGGTACCAGGAAGGAGGGGCAGGGGCCGACCGACACGAAGATAGGCTTATGATATAAGTGACTCCTTAAATATGAAAGTACAGGAGGCGGAAGAGCTGGCGGGAGACAGAGTTTCTTTCAGGCAGACTGTGATGAGAGCGACGTTCTGCAAAGGACCTGCTACATGATGATGACGATGATTCGTTGATAGAAGTGTCCTAAGAGCTGAAGTTTACAATTTACACTGGTTGGGGGCGGGGGGGGGGGGAACAAGTTCAAAAAGTCGTGAAGAGGTTGAACGATTGTAAGGAAGACGTTATACCAACTACACTAGACATTCACATGACAAAAGAGGCCTGAAAACATGACCAGTATTGTACACCAGCCGATTGCACGCCAACACACCAAAATATGCCACACCAAAACACAGCACAATTGCACCCCTTGAAATAAATAGTCGACTGTACCGTCAGCTGTTAATTTCCTCTGGATTCCCCGTGTTTTGGGGTAACTAAAAAAAGCAGCAACTTTTTTTGGTTTGGTTTGGGTTGGTTTATACAACGGATCAACATCATCACACAACGGTAGTAACCCATATGTGCTCCATTCTACTTATAACTCAAGCCTGAGTCTGACGAATTTCAGCGCAGTGCACGAACACCGTTGCACTGGTGAGGCTCCTGAAATACTTTGGGTAGTTTGTTCATTCCAAACTTTGCTCGGGCAGTGCCGTTATGCTACTCTTTTTGATTTCTAACTACCAAGTGACATGGGCGTGTCACAAGACGATGCCGTCATGTGTCTTTTTTAAGATTTTCCCTATAACTAATAGACATTCTGAAGCGATGTAATGTTGAGGCGTAGGCTCGTATTGGTCTAGGCGGTCTCCGCAGCTCCAGTAACCATCCAACGACATTTCAGTGATGAGGCGACCAGAGTGTTTGACTCCTCAGAATGTACAAAGATATTCCTGAGTACGACTTGGCCAGATTTCCTCACCACTTGATAGTCCCCAGACTAAATATAATCCCCATACCAGTCAAACAAACACAGTATCAACAGGAATCTGATCTAAGACAAATGCACATAGACACTAACCGAAAGTGAACTGTAAAAATAGCAGACACTAACAAAAGTAAGTTCCATATAACAAGCATGATGTAATAAGTTTTAACAAAATATACATATGCTGTTTAAAAAAAAAAAAAGAAGAAGACGCGCATAGTTACTGAAATGAACAAGCACACAATTTTGACATTCTGCATCTTTGTAATGCAGTAAGTAAAATTACTCAAATTTCACAAAAGAATACCTTAGGGTTCCACCAATCAATTGACACCTTTTTTGCATCTGGGTCAGGAGAGTTTTCAAGCGTAGGCCTTTCCCGTTAGAATGGTGTATGGCCTCCTTGTGTGGATCCTTGAATGGCATTTCCTGGTCATGAAAGCGATCAGATGTCTGATGTGAGCCTGTGGGATTGCTGCCCACTCTTCCTGGAGTGCCTGTAACAGATCACGACCATTGGCTCATCCTGCAGGTGCCTAATCGGACTCATGTCTGCAGACAGGGATGGCCAGGGAAGGGTTTGAATGTTATTGGAAGCCAGGAACTGCGTGGTCAGCTGTGCATAATGGGGTTTGGCCTTGTCCTGTTGAAAAAATATCTGTTGGCATCCTAAAAAAGAAGGACATGTGCTCGAAGAAATTCATGCACGTATTGTTGCGCATTCAAGCTTCCTTCAGTGTGCACCTATTGACTCCTTCCGGTGTAACTGATCATTCTCAATACCATTACACCTCCACCACCGTGCAGTAGAGCTTCATCAAAACAATCTTTGGCTAAACCATCATTTCGTCCACGGTAGACCCTATGCCGTCTATCATGAGCTGCAACTAAAAGAAAGTTTCGTCACTGAACCAGACACGTCTTCACTGATTGTCCAGGGACAATGTTGGTTGGCCCAAAGAAGTCGATTTTGGCGGTGGCGACTCGTGAGGACAGGTCCTTGGTGTGGTCGTCGAAGCGAGAGTCCAACATAATGCAGTCTGTTCCGAACTGTTTGATCAGGCACATGACGTCCTCGAGGCAATGCTTGTGCAGTTGAGGAAATTGCTGTAAAGCTGTCTCTTAGGTGACGAAGCCGAACACAGCGATTCTGGGCTTCTGTTGTCACTCTGGGTCGTCCACTGCGATGTCGGTCTTTAACTAAACAAGCGGCTTGGAACTGGTTCCAGAGTCGACTGGTGGTACTCTGATGCACGTTTAGTTGCCTGGCAGTCTGAATTTGAATTTATCCTGCCTGCAATTGGCCAATAGCAATATTCCTTATAATTATCGATAGTGGCTCCATTGGTGATTGCTTGAAAAAAAACTGATAGTTTTGATGTAACGTTATCATTTTATAGGGTTTCAATTGCGTAGGCAGTGAATAGTGTTCACAGCAAACTGTGTTGCTTTCTCATGCGCACTTCGTGAGCTATGCTTGCAAATATGGTCTTAAACACATTTGACCACTACGTTGTAATGATTAGAAAAACCCACGCAATTCACGCCCACATGTCTACTGAAGACGATAAACAATATTTGGGTCTGCTTTTCACATACCCGAGTACAAAATATTTTTAACAAACTAGTAAAAACGCGCCATCCGATAACTATGCGTTTATTTTTTTAACAGTATATATATATATATATGTGTGTGTGTGTGTGTGTGTGTGTGTATATATATATATATATATATATATATATATATATATATATATATATATATATATATACATACGATAAATCTTAATGGAATGATCTAGCAGCATGAACGACAGAATAGCAAGACATCAATTATGTCCAGTCAAGAATGACTACAGGCCTGACTTCAGCAACTGATAAATTAATCATTGCTCTGTAAATGTGAGGAGCTCATAGTAGCTCAGTCTGATTTGAACTAGTTGGCTGTACTTTAGGTCTATGTTACTTATCGTCACTTATCTTCTCAGTCGAAAGAGATGTCTGCTGAAGGATTCTACTTGTAAAATTGTTTCATTAGTAAAATAATTGACTGCCACAAAATTATAATGCCAATGTTTTTAGCAGGATCTCTGCAGATAAATATATGAATGATACATAACCAACAGGTTTTTTTAGCAGCTCATTTTATACAGATGGCAAACCTCAGGCTCGATACACTGGAATGTCGTGTGGTAGCTACATTGGCGTTTGACTGTGGTTGACCCATCGTCACTGTTGGCTGAGTTGGTAAGGACACTGGCAAATGCAAAGTCGGATACCTGGCGGGAAATTAAGGGACGATGGATTAGGTTAGTGAATTTTGTTGGAGGATCTGTCAAGGTGATCCGGACGTCTGTCAGTTCCAGTTAAATAGGCAGGATTACTGGTTCATAGCTCACACATCCTGATGATAGAGTACAATGAACCAACCAATAAACACTATGCCTTGGTACTATTTTTCTCCACCACACATCATCAGTTACTGTTCGTATATCAGTGGTCAGCCTTTACAGATAGGAATAAACCGAACAGGGATATCCCCTGAAGTGCCCTAGCAATATGAGGCATGAGCAGTCATGTCCAAGACTTCTTCCAGTAAAAACAGCGGTTGCCTTGCACAAAAATAAGATCGACAATATTCCTTCCATTAAAGAAAGCCGAGACAATACAGGCATACATTGGATCATGAAATATTTATCAAGTCGACAAGTATAATACAGAAGACAACTTCTTTTCCTAACCAAACTGTGTTTACTACCAAGCATAAGGCCGGAACTGTCCGTTCTAAGTGGTCGTACTAAAAACTTCGATCGCTGGGATTTATTGCCCGAAACAAATAATTGCTATATAGGTCAACTCCAGACATGAATATGCCATAAATCTTTTCCCCACATATCAACTGTACATGAATACAGTCATTTTAAAAAGGATACAACGTCCCAAGGGATCTGGCCGGTATTTGGACGAATATAAGGAAACATCTTCCTTCTAAGTGAAGGTAAAATTCTCCAGTTGGGTTACCTCTAAAATATGAGTATCCTATAAGCAGTGTGCAGCTGGGCATCCATGGCTACATCAGTCAAAGCTCTGAGCAAAGAAATATGACTTCACTAAATTAATTAACGTACAACTTAACCATGCCCTTTTGAAGTTCCCGGGTGAAACGGAGACTTTCAAACAGGATTCAATTGTAAGTTGACGGTGAAGGATGGCTCGAATGCTGACACAAATTCAAAATTCACCCAAGTCAGATGCGGGAAGGATTCATTCCGCGTAGGATGCGGTTGTTCCCCTATTTTTTTTTTAAAAAAAACGCTTCTCTACTTTTAGAAATCACTTACCTGTGAGTGAATTCATAACATAGCTCACTCCCAATAGATTTAGGACTGAAACAAAATTCCTTTACCTACATCCTATCCCATATTTACCAAAGAAGGACTATATATTTATGGAGGAATGGTCCATATTTGAATACAGATCATTTGCATAGACGTGTACATGATGTAGAAGAATTTAACACTGAGGGGTGTTCTAGCTGGTTATGTGACAGGGCGTCCAATCTTACTACCCAGAGATAGGGGAAATTACTAGAAGTGTTGTTTGTTATGGTTATAAAATAGCATAATTGGTTTGAGACTTGTTAAAAGAGCTATAAAGTAGCATTATTGTTGGGGATAGACGTATAGATATTTAGTTTATGTGAGGCTAGGTTTTTTTTTTTTTTCCTGAGTCTTGATGGCTTGTTAGGTAGTATACTATTTAGTGAAGCTCGATACTAGACTGCTTCATTGTTCTCTTGATTTATTCACAAACTATCCCATCCTAGCCTCTATACATGTAATGTCTCCTACTATTTAGTTTAGTAAAACTTGACGTCTTATTCTGATTGTTTTAGTCTAAAGTAGCTTTTGGATCTGTTTGTATTGTAGCCTCTTCAGCTACTTTTAGATGTCTAGCGCTAGCTTCTTAGTAGAGCACTATGTCTACTACTGCCTAGGCTTTATAATAAGAATAAACTCACAGGGAGCAAGTACAGCGGGGATCTACAGTCATCAGTAGAAATTATCCTCGTCGACACACGTTTCGGCCCACAATTCCTAAACGTATTCGGAGGTGGGCCCACCTGAGTTCATGAAGCTCAGGGCTGCTTCCCCGCTGCACAGAATTACCGGATGGTGTTATTATTTCGGCCAGAGACAAGACGACTTAGTGGTTTCGAAGGAGGTACTGTGAGATAAGAAGCCGCCGCGACAGCGTAATTAAAACAGTCCGCATGCCAGGACGACCGAGCGACAAGCTTACTTTGGTTTACCGGACACATGTTGGACTTTTATTAGCAGTTGGCAGAGGGACACTGGCAGACAATTTGTACACGATGACTAGCACCTGAGACAACAGATCATGCCCCCCAAGACTGTCCCAATTACAACATATTAAGGCAGAACTTTTGGCTAAGAGAAACATCGGTGCAAGTCAAAATTTATGGGTGGCTAAGTTAATTACAAAAGACAGTGAAGCTCATACTAGAGACAACATTGCAGATATAGATAATCTTTTCCAAGCAAACGAATGAAGAAGATGATGATGCATCATCAGTGCATAGTTCAGACGTGCATTATTTCGAAAGCATACTAACAGTTTATAAAAAGGAACCCTTTGCTTCCTCAGATACATACACCACTGATAATGTGATGTTCTCCTGGCAGCAAAATACTCTGCCTATAACACATGACGCGGAACTGGCACTCAACACCGAACTCCCTCAATTTTCTATAGTAGAAAATACAACAGACCAATGCAATGGTACTATGGATGTTGAAACTCGTAAGTTAATAAGATTTCTATTGAACTGATTGGTTAGCTGATCGATGAATAAAATCTGCAAAAAAACAGGCAACAAATGAGTGTACACTGACTATTCTCTAGTACTCTACAAGTTTAACTATGTGGTCTCGTCTGTGATTATGCATAACCTCGCCCCAAAATTAGACGCATTTTTTTGTTTGTTATTTGAAAGCCCCGCCCTGGTTGTAGTCGGGGGCCATAATATAATTTTTAGGTTGAACATGGTTTCCGGAACTTGTACCTGGGTGATTCTCATCTGAATAGTGTTACCAGGTGTTTATCGCTCATTGTGTGGTCCTGGTGGGGTTAAGCGTCCCTCACTCACTCACTCATGTAAGATAATTCCTGCTTTCCTGCTACTCTGTTATTTCTTTTTAAGTTGGGAAGAGGTGGTTTGTTTCAATAAGAGATCTTTTCAGTTCCCACTATATTCATTCATTCAGTAGCATGTCCCTCGCGGAACCTCGCTGCCATAACAACCCTCCGGAAAACCTTCCTATCCTGAGCAAGATGTCCTGCGTCTGATACACCCATCTGGAGATCATCTGCCACATCCTGCACCCATCTTCTCCTTGGCCTTCCTCTTCCTCTCTTCCCAGGCATATACCCCTTCCCACTATATACTGTAATAAATAACTGTTTCTCCCCACGCAAACTGGTTATCTTATACGCGTCAGAATTTATGTTTTGGGAAAAAGCATTTAGAAAGCTACAATTTGGTAGTTGCATTTAGTAGTAATCATCATCAAGTGCCTTGCCGACTAGCGTTGGCGATCATGCCTCTCCATAATCTGCGATCTCCTGCAGCATGTATTAGTTCGTGTGCTGACACACATCCATGCCATTCAACAAGACTGTCGAGAATCTTCTCTCGTTGTCTTCCTCTATCTCTCTTTCCACATATCTTTCCAGTGGTCACCATATGTTCTATTTTCCCTCTTCTCATAACATGGCCGAAAAACGATGACTGTCTCCTTCTGATGTCTGGGAGTAGTTGTCTTCGGGCTTTTTTTTTTTTTTTTGCTTTCCAAGGTATTTTAACCTTGTTCTGTAAAACCACATCTCTGAGGCCTCTAGAAATTGTTTGGCCTGCCTACCGATTGTCCAGGACTTACAGCCATATATGACAAAATTTGATGTATGTAGCAAGCAAGAATTCTTTTTCTAACTCTCAATGACAAGGATATATTGCACAAGATGTTTTTCATTTTATAAAGTTTTTGCCTGTCCTATTCTGTTTCTTATCTCAGTTATGCATCTTCCATCTGATGTTATCCATGTGCCCAGATACTTAAATTTATGTACTTGTCCTAAAATAATAGCATCGACTTTTATTACACATTTAGGAATAATTCGTTTCTTTGATACCACCATTACTTCTGTCTTCCCATTATTCAAACTGAGGCCCATTCTTCCACTTTCTAACACCACAATGTCTATCATTTCCTGTAGTTCTTTCTGACTTGTTCTGTCAAACCTGTGTCATCAGCATAACGTAAATTGTTTATATTGTGCCCACCAACCACAATTCCGGGCATATCATTTAAAGATCTCATTATATATTCACTGTATATTGAAAACAAATCAGGTGACAGTAGTAAACATTAGATAATTTCCTATGTAAAAGTAAATATTCATTTATGCCCACTGCTAGGTAACACAAGGAAAAAATGTTGCCAAATAGTTTATGTTGATGTTAGTTGGAGAACAGTGTCACGATAGGTGAGGTGTGACCCACAATGTCCCGGGCATACAGAGACAGTCCTCAACGACTGAACTTGATTAAAATGTTTGCTTGTGCAAATGGTATATATGAAGTGTTTGATAACTATATTATAATATTTGTCTTAACTACTGATCTTTGACAGACCAGTGGTCTCCACCCTGGGGAACGCAAGAGCATTTCCGGGAGGGTGGGGGCGGGGGACAGTGTCAAGCTATGTTTAAAGTGAGTGCATCTGTATGCGTGTTACCAATACTAATATAAAGTTAATTTTTGACACAAACTTAAATAATTTTTAAATATTGAAAAGCCAAAAACAATTGCATATTTTTACAGGAACTTTTATACACAATACAATTGTATGTATTTTAGAGCCCCCAAAAAATAGTGTATATATTTTACAGGCAGTAAAATAATGTATAAATTTTTAAGTAACACAAAAAAATTGTATAATTTACATGAACTTAAAATGATGTACATTTGACAGCGAAATTTGCCTGCATCAAAGCCTACTTCACACTGAAGCGCGACATCGGCTACTACATCATTCAGGTGTACGTACCCAGCATTCTCATCGTAGCCCTCTCTTGGGTCTCATTCTGGCTGGATCTGGAGGCCATTCCCGCACGTGTGTCTTTGGGTGTTCTAACAGTACTCACGCTGAACACACACGGCTCGCACATCCAGTCACAACTACCCAAGGTAGCTTGCTATTCTGTCATTTGTCAGTTTTAATTCAGATCATGTAATACATAATGTATCTAAATTTGGGTGCTGTAATACAACCAGTGGTCCATGTGTATGAGTTATTTAATGAGCAGCACACATAGATTTATATTCTTCCACTTTCGTGTATAAAATAGATCTAAAAAAAAAAAAAAACATCCATAATGTCAAATGTACGCTGCAATTTTACTTAAGTAGTATAGAATAGTAAACATTTTAAAACATTTCATGTTTTGCATCCTTCTGTCAGTCAGTCTGTGATAACTAATACATAGGAATGAAAGTATTCTTAGTTTCATAACAAGTAACTAAACTTGTAAATTGTCACTGACAGTTTAGTTAATCCAGGAACGCAGCATTAGCTTTCAAAAAAAAAAAAAAAAAATCCTTCCTTGTTGTCGGCAGCTTCTTGTCTCATTGAAGGTATTTCCTGCTATACTAAACAGATGTTCACATGGTACGCTCGTAGGTGGTGCATAAAGATAACGCTTGACAGTATGAACCAAGGTGGGAAATCTTGATATGTTTATTTCCCACCAGTCCAGAAACGGGTGTAAGGTAACGACTATTCGTATTCGGCCCGACCGCAGCTATTCGGCCGAATACCGAATTGTCATCAGGTCCACTATTCGGCCCCGAAGCGAATACAAAGCGAATATTCGGTACAGCCCTAA